AAAGAACGCCCTTACATTTCTAGTTTCCAACACAATTCTCAAGCTGAAACGTTAAGGGAAATAAATTCACTGATATATTTTACGGCCCACCGTGGCAACGAGCATAATTTCCAAGCTCAAAGTCGAAGAAGAGATCGAAAGATCTCGGATAACATTGGAATCGAACGATCTCGCCGGATGCCCGAATATCGAGAAGCTTCCACCCTCTCCCCAGGGACCTCGAGGGATGTTTTCTTTTGCCAGGCCCTTAAGCGCCCGTTATCACGACCCTCCAAGTGAGTTTCGTGCTCGGATTTCGGCTCCCTTCGGTGGTGTCTCGCGCTTCGAGGGCTCGAAGCTGGAACTAATTTCACGGAGAGTCGACCGGAGAGATCCCTCCGTCGCGTTATTAGGTTTCCCAGTGTACGCGGGAAGAGATTTCTCCTGGCGGGGTGAAAAATTAAGAAGCAGAGAACTCGCCCGGGGGGGAGAGAGATAAAGAAAGCGACGCGTGGGTGGGAAATAGTAGCGAACGAGGAGGAGATTATGGCGAACGAGTATGGCAACCTCCGGGAAAGAATTTACGAGGCTCAGACAATTCTTGTCCTTGTTACGAACGAGTAGTTTTGTCGATTATTACATTTTATAATCGAGAGTTTTACTTGGGCTCTGGAAGAAAAATTCCAATAGCTGCGAAGTAACAAATAAATTGGGAATAATTTGGAAATCTCGAATATCTTGAAAATCGTCAGGGCTCCGGAGTGAACAGATCCTTTAAGTGGTTCTAACCATGAGATAGTAGGGTCTACGGAAACCAGATAGTACTCAACCACCGTCCATGTTTGCTAACAACACCACAAGTAGAATGGTCGAGTGATAGCCAGACGCGTTTACCGGATCCTTGATCGCACCACGTCGATATTATTTTAATCACCGTCGAACGATATTTATTTATTTGCTAGGTCTAACTCGACGAAGAATCTTCCAATTGTTGCAAAATTCGAAACTGTCGCGAATATTCGAAGCGACGGAGTTCCGGAAACACCTGGTATGCATCGAGGGGTCGATTGTGAAATTAAACGGTCGTTTATTCGAGTCGATCGCAGACCTATCTCCCCGAACAATGGCTCGTGGAGGGCATTTTCCAATGGACAGAGCACTCGACGACCAATCTTATCCTCGGTTAGGTGAATTTTCATTAACCGGATCCGGTCGTTCGCTGGACTTTGTCCCCGGACTGTCATCGTCGGATAGTTCGGAGGTGAAAAGAAAAATTTACAAGCAGAATGGTAAACAGTTCGCTGAGGGCATTGGACAGAGAACCGGGGAGACCTTTCTGATATTCCGTGCACGTCAGCGAGAGGGATGAAACGGAGGGTGGCGGACAGAGAGAGGGAAACAGGGGTTGCCGGGTAACAGAGAGGTGGGATAAGAGCTCCCAGGGGTGCCTAGCAACAGGTTGCTATCCTAAAATTTCGACCACCGGGAACGCCGAGGCCGGGAGGGGATGAAAGCGTCAAGCAACCTACAGGGTGGCTTCTCCAGTCCGTTCGAATGATAAATTTCAGACAGAAAATTAATTTTAAGGTTCCAAAGTAATAGAACGACCTGGAAATAAATATAATAAACCTTTCGAAACGATATTCCATAATTCCTATTTATTTCTAATGTTTCGAGGGTACGTTTGAGATGTAATTATTGCAAGGACACCCCGTATACTTTGTAAACGCGTACGCGAACTACGATCGACACGGACGTCTCGTTGTTTTCGTTCATTATCCTGCCGGAAGCTGTTTCGAGACGAGTCCAAGAGCTAGGATTGGCGTACTTGAAATTTAGTAGCTTTGACCATAACTCTCCACTCGTGGCATTAACTATAAAAACGGGGATGTAACGTTGTTCCAATGTACGCGTACGCTCCGTAGAACACATTTTAATATTTCCAAGCACTGTATTATTCGCTTTATTCGCACACGCGTCCTATTTACTCGTGGTCTGTCAATTTTCTGCGAAACGAGGTACGAGCAAATCTGATAAAAAACATGACCGAATGCACTTAAATGCATATTAAATACACCGACCCGCGCAGAATTTCATATTTATTAAATTCAAATGCACGATTTAAACGTTCGTTCTTTTTTTTTTGTTCGATCAATTCTCCTTTTCCACGCGTTGCTCTGTTTTTTCATCCCCATATTTAATTGCATTCACACGTTTTATTATTAAGCGCCGCGACAACGCACACGTTCGAACGAACGAAATTATATCGGGGCAAAAATAAACGAACTTCCACCGTCAGGGTGGATTTTCCAACGCATTCTTTGATAAAGAATTTCACCGGTTAAAATTTAACGGTGTTTCAAAGCAGTCCGATTTCAATTTCGAAAAACGAGCGTGATATTCATTTTAAAGCGAACGCATCGGCGGCGGTAACGTGTTTCGAACATCAACGAGGTTTCCCGGGGGCGGGAGGGAAGGCGAGTTTTATGAATTTTTCCTGCCTTTCGCGATCGAGCACGCGTCGTATTAAAAATGGCTGTCGCTGTCAGAATTTAAAAACGGATAAATTCGCGGCGAGATTATCGCGAGGGTAAGTTAGTTACGCGTATAACGGATCGAAATCCATTTCGACCCGGCAGATATTAATTCAATGGCGGTCGAAACACCCTCGGATGAATATTCGATCCGCCACGGGTCGAATCGAACCGTTCGCGGTTCTTTTTCTTCGTAAAAAAACAAGGAAACGATTTTTCGAAATTGCCTTGGATCATCGGGGGATCGTTCGTTCGAGTCCGCGTCGGTTTTATTCGCGCGACGACGGGCGTTAAATTACGTCGGATGATATCGGGACAGAACCGGAGACCGATTCTACAAAACCTCTGTACAATTTACTTAAAGCGGAAATCGAAGAAACTCTTAACGAGATTTCAAAGCTGCCGGATGCACGCAGCCGCGAGAAAGCCTTCTCAGTTAGGTTCCCTTCCAACTCCCGCGGAGTGTACATAATTATCAAACGGGATCCCGGTACGTTCAAAGCACGGTTAATTAAAAAAGTGAGCCGTGTTATCGATTCAGAGTGGGATCGAGAACGGGACGGTAGAGTAAAATCGAGCGAGACGAATTGTCATTTTATTCTTTGTCTTTCCAGCGTGGCTCGTTTTCGGTTCCCTTTAAGCTGAAACCAGGTAAATGACACGAACAGACTGCACGGATTCGGCCCGTGAAACGTAATAAGGACAAATGGCCGCGACGAGGCTGTATAAAGAAAGCTACTGGAATAAATGGAACACACTTTAGCGGCTCCCTTTCCACAGGAAAAAATACATAAGGATAACAAGGGTTCGCCCGGATAACCAGAATGGGATTTATGGCGGCCACTGTACCTTCTCCGTTTCCCTATAAATTATAATTATCGAGACCACCGCCCGAGCTTTCGCGAACGGTGCAATTTTATTAATATTAATTCTCTCGCGTTCCGCCTGCGTACGATTTTTTTATCCGTCAAGTATGTGCTTTGTATCAATTCACCCGTTGTTTCAACGATACTTTATAACGAGCCGTGCAAGTTCTCAAATCCATCTGGAAATTTCCAACGTTCGAATCGTCCTTCCAATTTGTCAGTTAATTGTAATCCTCCTTCCATGGATTTCGCGGAGGACGTATCGCGTAAGGCTCGCCGATAAAAGTAAAAAAATAAGAAACGAAAGCGTAAGAGGGTCTTATTTTGCAACGCGCGCGCATCGATGGTATTTTTTAATGAATTTTCTCTGTCTCGAACCCAGTTATAATCGATTGCCGCGAATGTTGCCATGGATACTGTAACTGTCGCGTATAATTGACAACTCCAGATTTATCAGTACGGTGGGAAAAGCTGTTTCTGGGACGAGTGGCTCGCCCCGCTCGATTATCGCGGGATCGAACGCGTTTTAAATTCGAGACCATTGCTCAAACGCAAAAACACAAAGCTCGCGCAAAGATCGCGCGACAATTCCGCGAATTAGTAGCTACTCATCGACGGGGATAATCGTTAGGGATGTCTGCCGCTACGATAATTGGACCGTCGGTATTTTTAACTCGGGGGTGGTTTGGCCTGCGTCGAGCTCGTCGTCGAGTAGCGGTTCTCAATATGACTCGAAATTCTCGCGAAATGTTCCTTGGGAGTTGCACGTGCGGCGCGAAAATTCTTTGGAAATTCCCCGCTGGACGAAAAGGAGCGAACGAACGCGAACTTACCCTCGAACGGGAAAGACAACCCCTTGATAGGTATTCCTCCGAGCGGAATGTTCTCCACTTTGCGAGACCATGAAGTTTTAGTGCCACTTGTTCGGTAGGCAGCTGTCCAACTGTGTACGAACCTTAATCACTTTCGATAGCACCAAAGTGGTTGAGTTATGGGGGATAAGTAAAGCTTCCCGCATAATTATTCGTTTCTTTCGCTCGTTGTTATCTGCTGGTACTGTTATTAAAAATTTAAACGTAGAGTAAATGAAATTTAGTTGGTTCCTTTGAGCTACTTCTCGACGATCCCGTGGATACGGTTATATTTAAATCGAGTCGAAAGAACCGTGTATGAATTTTTCCTGGAGAGAGCCACGGGGATAAGGTTGATATCCAGGCTCATGTAAATAGGAAAAAGGACGAGCGAGTATCGGTATACACGTTTTGCATCGTCTGGGTTCGCGGAACCGGAATAATAACGAAAAAAGAGAGGGGACAGAAAAAAAATACACGCGAAGAGATACGCGACGTTAATTGGACTTGAGAGGGAGAAGACGTAACGATAAAAATAATATTCGAGCGAAACAAGCACATATGTTGGGGGGTGTACGTAGGATAACAAAAATAAACGAGTACGAGTGGTGGATCGCGTGACTAAGCCCGCGCTTCCGATGCCTCGAGATTAGGCCAGTCAACCTAACCCAATTAAGGTGAAACTGTTGCAACGAATTTCTTCCCGATCCTCCTAATTGCGCGTTCAACTCGTCGACCGATCGGTTGACATTTTCGATTTTTATTGCAGGATGTTGGGCGGCGTGGGAGGCCGGCACATGTCTACGCGCCGGCGGGTCAGTAGCCCGTTGGTGCGTGGAGGTGTGGGCCTCGCTGGATATGCTGGACAAGGTGCTTCCGGGAATTCCAACGATGCTGCCGCGTTACCACCGGATGTACAGAAATACGCTGCAAGAAGGCGCGGGGCGGTTACCACTAGCGATCACAAGAGCTGCGCCCTCGTACAGACTCGTATCAAGCTCGGAGATATCATGTGAGTACATATTCTGTACGTGAAAGTCGGTAAAAGTCGCGGAGGTGCAATGTCTGACCAGCAGTGTCGGTATCTACTTGGGCGGTAAAGCTCGTACAGTAGCAGTCGATATTATAGCTTCACTAGTCTTTGTTCTGACGGTTTTATCGACTAAGAAGATCAATAGAAGCCGCATGGTATCAGCGGTGAGGCGTCTGACCAACACAGTCGATATCTACTTGCCGGTAAAGTCGAGTAATGGTCGATAACTTGACTCGTCGTCGGTAAAAAACCTCTTCACCACATCACGTTTGCAACTGACGATTGTATCGGCAGTCGCCTCCATAATTTACCATATTGCAGCAACAATTTAGCATCTATCGTCGATAAATTCTGCAGATCGCGCGAGAGTAAAGTAGAATGCAGTCTGACCACAGCTCGTTCTCTACTACTGTGCAGGGAAATGTAATTCTTGGTTCGAGGAAACGGTGTTACGATAATCGATACACCGTAATCGATTTATCGCGAGAGAGGTTAACGAGTTCGCGAATACGAGATGGCGTGAGTCGATGGTTGCGGCTGACCACGCCGGGGTATGCACTACTGCGGCTGAATTAAAGTCTAATGTAGCGAGGTGTCTGTACTCTCGGCATGGACGGTCTTCGGCGCTTTTTACGTTATCGATTAGTCTTCGATTGTTTGGCCATTACTTTTTATTTTTAGCGCGGACTGTCGTTGCCCGTTCCGTTAAATTTAATTAGAATTTCCATGCCGGTGGCTGCCTATCGTTCTTCCGGGGCGCGTTTGCACGACGACATTCGACCGCGGCCGATTCGCGGAGACCCTCTTTTAAACATATTCAATCCGACGACTTTCTGCCGTAGATTTTTCCGCTCGAAAATAAACGGGTCACCGTGGCCGCCTCGAAGACCGAGCTTTCGCGATACCGGTGCGCTCTATACCTCCCTTTATGCGGGGGAAAATATAAATAAAATGCTCATTCAAGTTTTATCGTCGCCGTCCCTTCTTTAGTTCCATCCATCTGCGATCGAGCGTACGACAGCTATCGTTTCGAAGGTGACTGCTCGAACCCTGTAAAAATAGAATCAATAAAAGGAATCGACGTTACGTGGAACTAGGTCTGCGCTATCGCGGACAAAATCGCCAGGATTCCCCTCCCCCCTCCCCGACCTTTTGTTATTAAAATGGTCACAGAGGCTATCCAGCCCGTTCGGATTAATCTCTACCGTTAACGAACGAATCGATGCTCTCCCCTCGCATTCCTTTGTCGATCTCGCGACGATGTGTGCTCGTTCCTGTACACGCATTTCTCGAATTCCCGACGGTACTAAGTGGCTGCAGTCGCGCGGAGATACGCGGACCGATCGAAGCCACTCAAAACCCGCCTCTCGAGGTCCCCTCGATCGCCGAGACGCTTCCCGTCGTAAAATCGGCAACGATCGAAAGTAAAGAAACGCGATCGATTTTGTCCAGGGGGAGGGCGCGACTCGACGGTGAAACGGGGGGAAAAAATCGAAAGTAAAACGTGTAAACGGCACCCGGGGTAGAGCAAGTAGGTCGCGATCGTAAACGCGCGTCGCGGTTGCTCGATACAAAGGAATTCGACTCGTGGAAAGCAGAGTGCTTTGCACCCTGCCAGGGGTTTCCGATTACGTCGTTGTCCTTTGTCCGCCGTCTCGGACTCCCAGACCCCGTTCCCGTCGCGATTTTCGGTTTCCGTTTCGGTCTCGGGCGATCGGTAGCCGCGGGAGGCGTAGTCCGTTCGTTCCACGGCCCTCTCGCCCTCTCCCACGGCCTTTCCGATCGGTGGCGTGTCGCTGTGGTGGATCGAGTCGGAGTCAGAGTCGCGGAGTCGAGTCGACTCGGTCGTGTGTTTCAGGCTGGTTGCCGGCTGCCGCCGTGAATCAATACCCGCATTGCGCGTGCCACCTCTCTTTCTCTGTCCCTCGTCCTATCTCCCGTTCTCGCTCTCCTCTGTCCACCGCCGACGCTCCTCTCTCCTGCCACGGTTCTGTCCGCCATCTCGTTCCCTCGCCCGTTTCTCCACCCTCCTCCACGTGTTTTTCCGCCCTCCTCGCCCCCCCCGGTCGTCGAGTCTTTTGCTCCTCCGGTCTTTCTCTGTCTCGTCCACGAGTCGCGTCTCTGTCTCTCCTAGCCCCTCCGTACCCCCTTCACCGACCCTCTCTGCCCTTCGACGTTCCACCCCTTGCTCGCGGGACGCGTACAGCCGGCAGAGCGGGCCACGGGGGAGGGTTGGCGGCCGATAGCGGCCTCTACGGGTTGCACAACCCCCGCGCTATGCGAACAGGTCTGACGAACGAGCACGCGGTTCCTAACGACGATACATACGCCGTGCGACTCTCGTTAATGTTTCTACGAGTAAACAGACTATTCGTAGAAATAGAGTATTTCGAAATTGGGGGTGAAGCTCGAGTCATTCCGTGGGGCTCTATTCAAAGATCCCACGTGGTTAATTATCCAGGTTTAAAAATCATCGAACGGTGCAATTTCTTTGCAACTTCGCAGGATTCTCAATATTTTCGAAATATTACGAGCGTCGATATCGAGTAGTTTATTTTTCCCTTTGCAAACGGAGCTGTATTTTTAACGATAGATCCGTGCGTCGTTATCGAATGGTACGGAGGAACAGGTTACTCTTTTATTTTTAACGCGATGCAATAAAGTTCGTCGACTAAAATCCTACTCGCCACGCGCAGTCGATCGGCGTCAGTAATAAAATCTGGGTCAAAATCTGTTATAAACTCCGACGTTCGACGAAGCAGACGCGAACCAGTTTCGAAATGGTCAAATATTCGACGAATCCCCTATACTTTGAACTATCAATTAATAGCTACACAGTTGCGTAGATAGTTGCATGTTATACAGAAAATAATAATCACTCTTTTTCGTACGAGACTCTGGTCGTACATCCAAACTGGAATCGTGGAAGAAGTAAAGCTTGCGTAGCTTTTCTCGCGGGAAGGAGGATGTTCGATAAACTTTTTCCCTGGATAATTGATAAGACAGCTCGTCGGGGCGTCGATAGAGGAGGCGCGCGTGGACGAATAACGCCGCGAAAGTATCGTCTGGTTGACCTTTCGATGTTCGACCGACGGTCTCGAACCCTACGAACGCCAAAGGATCTCCGTGACGTTTCTAGATCCTCGATAGCGATGAAAACAACCGCAACGGGGGTCAGTAAACTCCGAAGACTCGTGCTCGTCGCGTAACCTCTTCGAGGAATGATGCTTTTTAATAAGACGCCAGCGAAAATAATAAATATGCAAAATTTGTTATGCATCTCGTGGTTCAGCTTGGATTGAAATATTCCCATAAAGGTCTGCGATCGAGGGGAGTTCGATCGCGATATTTCCGCTCGATGTTGTTTGGAGGCGAGTTAACGTGCCAGAATCGCACAGTAGACGCGAGCATTCGCGCATTTGCGGGCCGTATCTTCTTCGCGTGGGAGGATTAGTTCGGGCGCGCGTAAACAACTGATAATACAGCCAAAAGGATGCCTCGTGTTTACCGAATCGAGTTATCGTACCTTCCAAAAGTGTCGGGCAGTTTCTTCGACTGTTCTCCTCGCTCGACGATTCACAAACTCGAGCGTTATCAAATTTGTTCGATGATTAATCGTCAAATTTTTCAGACGTAGCTTGAGATACTTTTCCAAAGTATCTGTGCTTAAATTTAGTAAACATAGACGACTAGGGAATGTATTTAATTTTTTTTTTTAACGAAGAGTCGTACTTGTCTCGAGAGGAGAGTAGTTTCTAAGGACGAGTACGTGCATAACGTGCGCGAGTAAGTACGTTAACGTAAGAGAGACGGATTAATTTGCGAATGACCGATCGAAAGCGAAAGAGATGGCGCGGAAACCTTATGGTTCTATCCTCGGTATAAGGAGACGTAAATCCATTTGGCTCCGGTGTTCGGTGCATAGCAACCCTTACGTTAGAAGACCAATAGATGACGAAGCTAACGGGGTTCAGATGACTTGACTTACGAAGCCCCGGCCGTGCTCTCTCGGTGCAACGCACCGTTTTTCTTTCGTTACGCCCGGCAATGAAGTCGTTACGAAATGCAGGTCATAGAATGCGTTCCACTTTTCGTCGACGGTTTGGGTTAGGACGACCCGGATCCACGCGATCGAGATCCACCCTTCGAACGAAACTTAACGCGTCTCAAGATTCTTCGCACAATACGAATAACTAACAGACGTCCCTGTTTATTTCGTGGTTCGAACAATCTCCTCCATTTTTCTCGACCAACATTATTTCTTTTTCCGTCCCGTTTAATACGCTGTAAACCTTGACGCCTGTCTGCTCGGTATTAATAAATCAAATAGTTCAAACCATGTGACCCAAGCACTTTAAACTTATATATTGCTAAGTCATGTACAACGGAAGGATTTCGAGAGCTATAAAATTGCAATCTACCATCGGGGATTCTATAAAATAACAGAATTATCGGACATTTCTGCAACGTGAAAGACTGTCGATGCTGGCCGCGATCGAGGGATCCAAGGGACGCGGATCGATGAGGAATCTTATCCCCCCGGGCGCACCTCGGTCGTTCCTTTTGATCGTTGGAGCGTCCACGCGCCCCTTGGACTCGAATGTGAGCGAAAGCCGGGAATCGATGGGTCGATAGATATCAGATTAGCGGAGCGCGTCTTTCCCTGGACGATTTTAGCCAGGCTGGAAAAGCTCGATCGGCCGTGGCGCGTTCGACGCTCGTTCTTGATTGGCGGCGGACCAGAGTGACGTCACGCGAACACTTTGACAGACCGATCGAATGATTCGATTAAAATTCTCGTAGTTTCTCCGAACCCCCCTCCGCCCCCTGGTGGACCAACGTACGACGGAGTAGGCCTCGCGCGATGCCAGAGGATGACGAAACCCGTCGGGACGTCGACGTTGTTTGTTTTCGTCACCCCCGTCTCGTAACCTACGCGAATTCCCACCCCCTTCCGGATGAAAACGAACGTTTCGCCA